AAAAGGCATACTTGGAAATCTCTGCTGAACAGCTGGCTGCCCGGTAAAGCATGTCACCCCCCGGATCACAGAGGAGTCACGCTTATAAAAAACAAAAAGCCTTCTAAGAATAGAAGCACGTTCCTCGTCATGACTCTGGCTGTCGGACAACCCCGGACTGATTGTGTTGCAGTGTCATTGTGTCTGTTGTGAGGACAATCACATGTACAATTTGCAAATCTGTGCACTACATATGCATCCAAACGTGTGGCCGTGCAGCCTTTGGTTTCGCTGCCCCCGCCCCAGTCACTTTGCATTAATTCTGCAGCGGCTTGATAGAAACAAAGAGCAGACCAGTAGGGGCTTCAGATGGAGCCAAGTGAGCCACACAGGCTAGTGGGAGCTCAGTGCCAGGATGATGTCACCACACCTGCCCGTGGGCCTGAATCTTCATGTGAGCAGAGCAAGGACATCACAACTGTCCATTAAGTTCATTATTTCTTCTCCTGAAGACCTGTCAGCAACACGTTTTTCCTGTCGGATTTAAATACACGACGAATGTCACCTCCCTAAAGAATATTTAATTTCAGCGTTGTCAATATGATTTATGTTCATCACCGCAGCCCGACTCACAGCTGCAAGAATCTGAAGCTTTTCTTTCTCCTGTTTGACTGTAAACAGAAAATCTTAGTGTTTTTGGTTGTTGATGGAGAAAACAATAACTCATTTGATGATGTTAACTTGCTCAGTAGGTATTAATAATCTGTATTTTGCACTAAATTGTGGCGCTCCACTGATTACTTCTCATGAGGAGTCCTACTCAGCCTGTGGAAACGGTCGCATAATATTGTTTGTGGCTCTGAAGGGAACTCTCTAAAGCCGGAGGAAGCTACCCTGATTGTGTCACAGCTATGTCATCAGGGTTCCCCCAGGTTGGCTTTAAGATGCTTTAAACAGAAACAAGCCTGGAGTGTGGGGGTTAGAGAGATGCAGGCATTTACCAGCCAAGGAAGGGCTGCAGCTGCATCACAGTCTGTTGCAGCAGCAGCAGCAGCAGCATTCATAGCATTCACTCAGCTGAGTGGTGGTTTGTCTTTTTTTGACAATTCAACCTCAGACAAGGTGTAGGAAACACAACAGTACTGAGCTGAGACATGAGGAGCCTGTAAGTGCATCAGTTTGGGCTCTAACTAAGTCAGACTTGATCAGCTGCTCTTCTATCGGTTGTGATCGTTCTTTTAAAATATATCAAATGATTCAAAATTGTTTCACCTCTCTGTGAATCCATCATTATCATACATTTAATTACTGTAATTATTCCTAGAACTGAACAGTAGGGAATGTGGTTTTGGGTACAATTCAAATCTAACATTTAGTGTGTTATAAATACAGGCCCCTGAATGCAGCGTGAGTCAGCACACGGCTCATTACTGAGATTCACATCTCTGGTGTTTCTAGAGCTTCATGTGTCCACCACTACTGCTGATGACTGAGTCCATCCCTGTTCTTCAGAAAACACTTGTTCAGCTTCTTCTGATGGAGGGAGAGGGTTTGTTCTCTTTATAAAAAAACATTAGATTGAAGTTAGGGTGCATACTTTAGTTCTCATTTTCACACTCTTGTTTGACTGTAC